TTATTTATTTATTTATTGTGGAAAAAAGTGATCGCATACAGAGTTATTATTGTTAATTAAAACGGAAACAAAAATTAAAGCAATTAAAAACATTCTCGTTACTTGAAATAAAATGTACATAAAGTACATTTTGAGAAAAACATTTCTCATTTTAACTTCTTGCACTAAAATAACTAAAACATAAAAAATTTAATGAAAACTATTTAAAAAGCAAAAACTGCTAGAAATGTCAAAATCACACAGCAAAATTACTAAAACTAACTCAAATTAAAACGAAAACGAAAAATATAAAAATAAAACTGATTCAAAATATTAATAAAACTACAAGAGAATCAATGATACTAAAGTAGCACTGCTAACATCTCAGATAACTGTTTTTAAGTAAACAAGTCTAATCAACTTGAATGCAATAATTCAAATTACAGTCATGAATACATCATAAAAAATACACATGATCTCTTCTTAGTGTAATATTATTTAGTCATGTAAAATCTTAAATTTAAATATATATACATACATACAGTGTGTGTGTGTGTGTGTATAATATATATAAAAGTATATGTCTAATACATGTATAAAATATACAGTGGGTACGGAAAGTATTCAGACCCCTTTAAATTTTTGAGAATATATGAAATATATAATATGCAGTATGATGTATAATGTTTGTTAAATGCTTATTCATAACCTTTATTATAGATGACTAGATCTTGCTTTGGATGAATCCATCAGAACTCAACACCTGATGGACAAATGTGATCTGTCAATCAAACAATATCCACAGCTCAAACACTTTAAAAAAAATCATTTCATTTTATTCAAAATAACATGCAGAATAATATTAGTTATATATATATATATGTATAGGTCTAATATATACTGTGTTTTAATTAATTCAAATAAGAAAGCAGTATTTTTTATAACATTTATGATAAAACATTAATCTGCATCATTACTGTCTTATAGAAATCTTTCCACTAGCGCTTTTGATAAATAATGAATCATTCCTAAATATACAATGAATATTTGATATGAAATAAGGAAGGCTTCTGATGCTATTTTTATTTACATCATTTATAGATCCATTAAAGTAAATGATCTCCTACATTATGAATTCCGGCTGCATTTTTAATGTTTGTTTAAAGTTTTTATATTTTGTTCTGTGATCAGTTATTTTTTCCTTCATTTTGGATAAAAGCAAAATGATTTAACATTTGCAGTGAATGTAAGTGTTTGTTTAATTGAACATGAAGTTGCATAAAGATGCATTTCCCTGGAGCATCTTCATTGACCTGGCATGCATAATCATTCGTTTTTTTGATAATAGTCGGCTGCTCTGACCTCTGTAACACCGCCACCTCTCCTGTCAGTAATTAAGCTGTTAACTGTGGCGTTTGGACAGATGACTCTCCTGCAGGGGCTGCTGGATGTTCGTCTGTCCTCTGATGCCACAGGACCTGATTGACACCACATTACCTGGAAGTGCTGCTGCTGCATGAGCCAATCAGATTTAGAGTTTATAATCCTGCACCATGATGTCCTGCTCTGATTGGCTGGCCGGTAAGAACCAATCACTGCCGTCCAGCACTGACGAGGTCACGAACACTGAGATCAGACTTACATACTGAAAATCTTCCTAAACGTGCATGTTTATACCTAAACCAAATATATGTTGGTTTATTACAGTGTTTTTGATTATCAGTAATTGGTTAATGTTTTGCCAGTGGGCATCACTAACATTCTATAAATGTGTGTGTGTGTGTGAGAGTGAGTGAGTGAGTGAGTGAGTGGTGTGTGTGTGAGTGAGTGAGTGGTGTGTGTGTGTGTGTGTGAGTGTGAGAGAGTGGTGTGTGTGTGTGTGTGTGTGTGTGTATTTACGTAGCTAAAGATCTGAGAACTAAGCTAAAATTAAAATGATTCATATATGAAATAAATGCTTGTTTGTTTTATTATTAGTGTTGTTAGCAATTTAAAATAATGTTTTTCTATTTTAATATACTTTAAACTGTAATTTATTTCTGTGATGTGCAGCTGTATTTTCAGCATCATTCCTCCAGTCTTCAGTGTCACATGATCTTCAGAAATCAGTATAATATGCTGATTTATTATCAATGTTAGAAACCGTTTTGCTGCTTAATATTTTATTGGAACTTGTGATACTTTTTCCAGGATTCTTTGATGAATAAAAAGATTAAAAAAAGAACAGCATTTATTCAAAATAGAAATCTTTTGTAACAATATACACTACCATTTAAAAGTTTGAGGACGGTATTTTCTTTTCTTTTTCTTTTTTTTTGAAAGAAATTAATATTTTTATTCAGCAAGGATGTGTTAAGTTGATCAAAAGTTATATATAAAGACTTATATTGTTAGAAAAGATTTCTTTATTCATCAAATAATCCTGAAAAGAAAAAAGTATCACATGTTCCAAAAAAAAAAAAATATTAAGCAGCAAAACTGTTTCTAACATTGATAACAAATCAGCATATGATGATGATTTCTGAAGGATCATGTGACACTGAAGACTCGGCTTTGATCACAGCAATAAATTACAGTTTAAAGTATTTTAAAATAGAAAACCATTATTTTAAATGGTAAATATTACATCCATATTTGGCTAGATAAATGTGTATATTTGTAGTATGTCGCAACAATCTCGGTGATATTTTTCAGTCTGGTTTTCGCTCACGGCACAGTACGGAAACTGCTCTAGTAAAGGTTGTCAATGATCTATTACTTTCTGGAGACTCAGGCAGTTTATCAATCCTTTTATTACTTGACCTCAGCTCAGCTTTTGATACTGTTTGTCATAAGATATTACTATCTCGCCTGGCAGAGGTTGGCATCTCAGGTTCTGCATTATCCTGGTTCTCCTCATATCTCACAGATAGGCAATACTTCATCTCACTGCACAATTCCAAATCTCCCACTGTTTTGCTCGAACAGGGTGTTCCCCAGGGCTCAGTTCTAGGACCATTATTATTCATCCTATACATTCAGCCTCTTGGCCAAATAATTAGTCGTCATGGTTTTAACTACCACTACATCCAGATATATACTGCTTGTCAACCAGATTCTACCCATTCGATGGCATCCTTATCTTCATGCGTCAGTGAGTTAAAGTCAGTGAGCAAATTTTCTTAGTCTGAACTTGAGTAAAACAGAAATTGTAATAATTGGTCCCCCATCTCTAATAAAAAATAAAATGGATGTTTCTAGCTTTGACCTTGACGCTATTTCTATTTTCCCATCGGCTACTGTTAGAAACTTAGGTATCATTCTAGACCCATCACTGACCTTGGATGACCACATTAGCAAACTTTCCAAAGCTGCTTTTTTTCAGCTACGTCGAATTGCGCAACTTCTTCCTTTCCTCAGTAGAAAAGATGCGGAATCATTAGTGCATGCATTTATTACCACTCGCCTTGACTATTGTAATGCTCTTTTCTCTGGCTTACCAGCTCACTCCATCGTTCGTCTGCAGTACATTCAAAATTCTGCTGCCAGATTATTAACTTCCACAAAAAAATCTGCTCACATCACCCCTATTCTGTTTAATCTTCACTGGTTGCCTGTATCTATTCGTGTGCAATACAAAATTCTTCTGCTCACCTTTAAGGCACTCAAAGGTCTTGCTCCCTTGTATCTTTCCGACCTACTTTCTTCTTATATACCTTCTCGCACACTCCGGTCTTCTAATTCTGAACTTCTTTGTGTACCTAGGTTCCGCCTATCTTCAGTGGGTCCTTCTCTGTTACTGCCCCCAAACTTTGCAATTCACTTCCCCTGGCTCTCAGAACGGTCACCTCTTTCAGTGAATTCAAATCAAAGCTTAAAACTTATTTGTTTAATCAACACTATCACTAATTTACATTGTGTATTTGTCTGTTTTGTTTTTCTATTTCTGTCTTTTCTACACAATCCGTGTTATATGCAACTGCATTATTTCTAACTGAATTGTGCAAATGTCCAATGAAATTGTTTCTTTGTAATCAGTATTTGCTGCTTTGGTGTACCTTGTAGAGCGTCCTTGAGCTTGGGGAAGGCGCTATATAAAGTAAACATATTATATGTAAAATAGTTTCTGTGTTTTTTTATGTTTAATATTCTGTGAGATCATAGACCGTCACTGACATCAGCCACATGAATAATATAATATTAATGAACACAAATCCCTATTTAAATGAATGTGTTCTTGATCGTTCGCTCATGCAGTGTTGTGGATGTGAATGGTTTGTCCTGTAGTTCATGTTAATGTGCTCCATGATCATTTACATGTGTCAGCTCATATTTGACTATTAGCCAAACGACATGAACGTCATTCTGAACCACAGTCCAGCTCATTCTACGCCTGATTCTTCTCTTCACACTGATTTTACTCACAATCCGTTTAACTAAGCAGCTAAATGAACTTCACATTTCCACTTTTGCTTAATGAGTTAATATAATAATGAATCTAAACGTCTCTGCGTGTGTGTCAGACCCTTCGGAAACCTGTCAATGAGAGCCATGCTAATATTTACATATTCTAATCTTGCATCATTAATAATGTCAAACCCATGTTTGGTGCTTACCATTTATAATCAAACACATTTTCAGAACATTCTGGCAAAGTTATCCAGTAACATTAATCAAATGTTTGTTCAGAGTTCTCATGATGTGTTACCATAGAAACATTATTTACACATTCTTTAAATGTAACTACTTGTTTCGGAATGTTCAGAGAACATTGAAAAGTAACGTTCCCATAATGGTTATAAAATTATCAAATGGAATGGTTACATAACCAAGAAAATATATATTTTTTTAACCTTTTTGGAATTTAAGATTAACATTCAGAAATAATGTTTTCATAACATAATGGCAACGTTACCAAAACATTGTTAGAATACAGTTTTATTAGCTCGCTTAATATTTAGGCTTAGATTTATTTATTTAGTTGAATTACATATAAATGTGATGCATATTTGTCAAACATTAATGAAACAGGTCAGATTTCTGTAAGAGCACTAATAAACTAAATAGTTTTAAACACACAATGGTTTATATATTTATCATGAATAAATCCAAGTTCAATCTAACTAACTGAATATTGCTTATTCCATATTTTAATTAAGTTCATACTTTTTAACTGAATTTAATATACCATTTTTAATTTAATTATGCTGATTCTAAACAATTTGAATGAATGCATTTTGAAAATATGATTATTTAAATCAAATCAAATAGACGCAGATATTTAATGGCATTATTTTTATGTTTTATTAATGTATGACTGACAGATATGCATCACAAATGTATTAGTTTGTTTATGTTAATAGTGTGCAATCCAAACAGATGGAAATTTATACGCAATTCAGATATATAAATCTTAAATTCAGGCCTAAATATGTGTATTGGCTCCTCCTTTAAATCCGTTCTGGATCTTATATCCTGAGCTACTATATTATTTGATTTTTGAGATGCTAGCACACAGAAACGGTGTAAACCTGAGCAGGGTGGGTCCGCTCATTTGCAATGCATATTGAAGGCTGGACGTCCTGCCGGCTCATTTTAGCCGAGTTCCCCCGAAGTCCTTCATTCTCAGCGGGGACAATGAGTTCAGGACTGAAGCTTTAGACCACATTACTGTGGTGATCCGTCCAAAATGAATCGAAACCGCTACACGCTTCTGGAGCCTGATGTCAAAGAGTACCTGGTGAAGGGAGACAGGTTCACAAAATGGAAAGAAGTAAGTGGATCATGTTCAGGACTCATATACACATTAGTTAGTGGATTCATATTTGATTGTGTGACAGGTGCTTTTGGTCCTAATGCTGAAAATGATCCATTTTTTTGATAAAAAGACAATTATTATGAGACATTAATGATTTTTTTTGAGAATATTTGTCAGTGTTTAATAAAAATGGGCCTCTTTGACCAGTTAGATTTGCGTTTATGGTCCATTTCGGATGTTTATATTCATGTTGAGAGATATTTTATAGATGTTCTATAGTTTTATAATAAAAACTCTTCACAGGACTCCAAGAAAACCACACCGGTCACCATGAAGATGGATCCGAAAGGATTTTACCTGTACTGGATCAACCAGAGCAAGGTAAGATAGGAATTTGACTGTTTTTCTGCTGCTTCTACACTCTCAGAAAAAAAGGTACAAAAGCTGTCACTGGGGCGGTACCTTTTCAAAAGGTACAATTTTGTACCTTTAAGGTACCAACATGAACTCTTTAGGTACAAAGTTGTGCCTTTTGAAAAGATACCGCCCCAGTGACAACTTTTGTACTTTTTTTTCCTGAGTGTACAAAAAAAAAACTTCTACTTTAAATGTATTCATAATTTATATTCAGTCTATTCTGTAAGACCTTTATTTGTCAGCTGAACCAGATACAAAAACCTAAATGTTTGATTTAACGGTTTGTTGAGAATATTTCATCTATTCACTTACATTTAGGCGTTTTAGTTTTACGTTTATTAGGTAATATATTTAATTTAATTTAATTTGTAAGACCTTTATTTGTCAGTTGAACCAAAATCTACTAAATTGTTATGTGAAATCCCACATACACTCGCAAAAAAAAGTACTGTACTATGGTACAGTGATGGTGATACCACAGTATTTTGACATTTACCATGATCCAGCATGATTACCATATTCATGTACCACAGTATTTACATGGTACTCCAAAGAGCACCATCATACTACCATAATACATGTCCAGAAACCACAGTATTACCATAGTACAGTGTCCAAAACACCATGGTACAGTCATCTAATGTTTTGACCTTTAAACAATTGTGGATAAATTTAATGAAATTTTTGCTTAAAATTTGTACTTAAAAATAAAACATTTTTGTGTATTTTTGGCATTTTTATTAGATTTTTTTAAAAACATGTCTATGTAGATTTTTTTTTATTTAAATTTAATTTATAAAAATTTTTATTTAATTTTATTAATTTTATTTGAGTTTTCATAAAGTTTTAGTTTGTTATTTAGTAGTCGGCTTGGCAGCTAGCTGAAATAAAATACGTTCAAGTTTGGTTATATTTTATTGTATTCCAGTTAACCTTTATTTTAGTTCAAGTAACAAGGTTTTATGGTTTTAGTTTTAGTGAACTATAATAACCCTTGTTTGACACTGGCATTCACAAGCACAAAATCACAATCAACTGCTGTTCTGTTGTGAATACCAGTGGGAAGTCATTTGGTGTAACAGATAAAAAAATATCATAATTTGATAACGTAACAATTCTGTATATATTTTAGATTGTAATATATTAGATTCATTTTGCAAGGCCCTGCCTGTTATGAGAGTAGCATCATCCACACATAATATTCATAAGAGCTTCAGGCCTCCAGCGTGTGTGTGTGTGTGTGTGTGTGTGTGTGAGTGAGTGTGTGTGTGTGTGAGTGTCTGTCTGTGTGTGT